TCTGCTTCTTTGGAGTTTTGATGGAAGCTAATTTTCCCCAGAATCTTGAAGATTCCCGCTGTGCTGTTGATGTTGAATGCCTTAGTGAGATCTACATAAGCAAGAAAAAGGAGTATGTTCTGTTTGCCTACACCACTCGTAGCTGGCATATGAAGAATGTCATGTTCTCGGCAGATCTGCGAGAACAAAACCTTGGTCTGAAAGTATATGGAGTTTTTTTAAGTAAGGCCTTAGCAACAGCTTTCCTTGTGACACCGAAAAGTTAGATGCCTCTGTGGTTGTGGCAGTTTCTTTGTTGCTTTGGCTTGAGACGATTTTTACATAATGCTTCTCCCGTGGACAAGAGCCTACTTTCCAGCAGAGAAAGCGAGTATCATAAAGGTGTGGCAATAGATGGGATTTTGCATGCTTCAGCAGTTTGGTTGGGATCCCATCTGTGCCAGGTGCCATTCTGTTTGCAAAGCAGTCCATGGCCTCTCCAAGCTCAAGTGATGAGGGTTCTTCATCTGTGAAGGGCAACTGCAGGAATGCATCAATCAGACAGTGGGATATCTGTATCTTGCAGCAGCAACGTTTGGACATTGTTTCAAAACTCTTCTACTACCTCAATCCTCCCATCTCCCCAGTCCTACAATACTCTGAGACATCTGCATTAATCTGACTCTGGCCTCAAAAGCACCCCCTGTTTTATTTGTTCCATCACTGGAGATTATGCTTTCAGTTGCCTATGTCCCAAAAATTGGGATTTACTCCCCTAACACTCTACCACTTAACTTCACTTTCCTACCTTAAGATGTACCTGAAAACCTAACTCTTTGACCAAACCTTTGGTCATCTGACCTAATATCACGTTATGTAATTTAGCGTTCAATTTTGTTTTACAATAGTCCAGTGAAGCACCTTAGGATGCTTTATTTTGTTAAAGGAGCTATACCCATTTAGGTTATTGTTGTAACTTTCATCAGCCGGGGCAATCTGCTACATCTGCATAGACTGAACTCCATGTCCCTTTCTAAATATTGCAAAAATTGTCTTCCAGCTTGAATTTTTGTATTTTCACAAGCAAGTACAGTCTGTAAAGGCTCTGGAAAGCAACTTGTGAAGGTACCTCATAAAGCAGTGTTAAGTCATTGGGTTTTTCTGCCAGGCATTTTCAGGGTTGAACTATTATTACTTGCCACTTTTCCTTCAGTTCAGCCTCGTTCCTTATAAGCCACAGTGGTATTCATAAATCAGAGTAGGAAATCCTCATGCTAAACACTAGTTACTGGTTATGTAATTGCACCATCACTTTATTTATTTTTAGAAAGTGTACTTGAATGTAGACTTTCACCAGACTGAGATTCAGGTCTGAATCAAATAGTGGTTATATATACATACGACAGATAAAAAGAAAGAAAAAAAATACTTTTTTTCAACTTTCCTTGCTACATGAAATAAAAAGACGCTGTGAACTTTCTCTCCTGCTGCAGACTTCAGGCAGGAGTTTACTTGCAGTCACCTAATCTAATTAGCCCCAGTTCAGCCAACATCTGAAAACACAGTTCGTAGGCAGCTGGCTGTAAGAGTGAAACACTGCCTTGGAGACTGTAAGATTGTGTAATTGGAAATCTGTGGACACTGAACTATCGAAGAGGACACCAGCCCATCACTGACACTGTCTCTCTATCAAAGATCTCAGAAATAGCAGTTAAAGCAAAGGCACTGCCCCAGCTAATATCTGATGCTTTACTGTGTCAAGGTGGCATCTGAAGCCCTATAGAAACAAAAGCCAGAGAATAAATATATAATAATAATTACACAACATCTCACATAGTTGCTTTGAACAAAAGAGACATTCATCAATATTTAATGAGTACCCAACTTTTAACTATGGTAAAGATGTTTGTAAAAATGTGACAGGCAATTAACACTTCAGAAGATATTTTTTGCCCAACCCTCAAACCAACAAAGAATTTGCATTTTATAGTGTTTTTTAACGACCTTTAGAGTTAATTAAGTACTTCTGAAGTGTAGGAAAGCGCTGATTTTTTTTCTCCAAAAGTCTTTCAGGGGAAGTGGGCAACGTTGAGAAGACCAACATTTATTATCCATTCCTAATTGCCCTTGGACTGTGTGGTTTACTAGGCCATTTTAGAGGGCAGTTAAGAGTCAGCCACATTGCTGTGGGTCTGGAGTCACATGTAGGCCGGACCAGGTAAGGATGGCCAATCTCTTTCCCTGAAGATCACAACTGAAGCAAAGAGTACTTTTACTCCAATTGTCATTATTGAAACTAACTGCCAATTTGTGCACAGCCCTTTGTTTTTATAATCTCTGCAGCACCTGAATCATCCTCAATACCAAGGTGACTTTGTGAAAGCATTCAAGTTTTATTGTATACTTGCAATTCAATAAGTTATTTCTATGTCATCAATAGCATCTTTTAGTTTGAAGTAGCAGGGATAGCAAAAACTGCAGATGCTGGAGTCAGAGACAACACAGTGTGGGACTAGAGGAACACAGCAGGCCAGGCAGCATCAGAGGAGCAGGAAAGTTGACGTTTTGGGTTGGGACCCTTCTTCAGAAAGGAAGACGGGGAAGGGAGCTCAGAAATAAATAGAGAGAGGAGGGGTGGAGCTGGAGAAGATAGGTGGGATGGTGATAGGTGAGTGCAGGTAGGGAGTGGTGGGGATTGGTCAGTGAGGAGGGAGGGACGGACAGGTGGGAGAGAAGTGGACAGGTTGTGTCAGGTCAAGGAGGCGGGAATGAGAGGGAAGGTTGGACATGGGATGAGGCCAGGGGGTGGGGAGATTTTAAAACTGGTGAATTCCATGGTTAGGCTATTGGGCTGTAGGCTCCTGAGGAGGAATATAAGGTGCTGCTCCTCCAGTTTGCAGGTGGTGTCATTGTGACACTGGAGGAGGACCAGGATGGCCATGTCACCCAGGGAGTGGGAGGGAGCTAAATTTTAAATTTTAACTCCCAACCTGAAATGCCAATTTTCCTGCTCCTCTGATGCTGCCTGGCCTGCTGTGTTCCTCCAGCTCCACGCTGTGTTGTCTCTTTTAGTTTGAAGGGCTATTTTTGTAGGCCCCTCACTCCCTATGCCAGAATGAAATTCCAAATCATATGCAGCTGACAGTCCTTAACTGCTTCCCACGTGATATTAAATAAAATGGTTAATTCTGCACAACACGTTAATGATATATTACTGAGTCCACCAGACTAGATGGGCGATAGTGTGAGTTCGACTGAGGAGTAATGGGACATTAGAAGTGACCTACTAGCTTCAGTGTTCCAGTTTGAGGAACATGAAAGCTGTCAACTAAGATCCCTGTTCCAACTATATAGGAGTACAAGTTGCATTACAGGTTGGAATAGACTATAATGGATTTGATTCATCATATGGATTGACAAATGAAGAACTGCCGATCTGCAGAAAGCTGCAAAACAAAGACTTGGGGCTACCTGTGCACCAAATACAGAAAGCTATCACACAAATACAGGGGGTAACCAGGAAGGCTGATGGAATGTTGTCCCTTATTTCAAGGGGATTATAAGAGTAAAGAAGTCTTACTGCAAATGCATAAGGTGCTGGTGAGATCGCATCTGGAGTATTGTGAGCAGTTTTGGTCCACTTATTTAAGAAAAAAAAACATCATCTCATTGGACACAGTTTAGAGAAGGTTCACTAAGATGATTCCCAGTATGAAGGGATTGTCTTATGAGTGAAGACTAAACTTGTTGGGACTCTACTCCCTAGAGTTTAGAAGAATGAGAGGTGATCTCATTGAAACATATAGGATTCCTGAGGGACTTGACAGGACAACTGTTGAGAAGATGTTTCCCTTCATGGGAGAGTCTAGGACCAGAGGGCATAGTCTCAGAATAAAGAGGTGCCAATTCAAGATTGAGACAAGGAAGAATTTCTTCTGTCAGAGGGCTGAGTCACTTTGGAACTCCTTACCACAGAGAACAGTGGGGGCAGAATCATTGTGTGTATTTAAGGCTGAGATAGATAAATTCCCGATCAGCAGGAGTATTGAGAGTTGTGGGGAAAAGGCAGGAAAGTGAGTGTGAGGCATGTTGTCAAATCAGCCATGATCCTAATGTATGGCAGAGCAGACTCGAGAGGCTAAGCAGCCCACTCCTGTTCCTGTTTCTTATGGTCTTATGGTGAGATGTGATGTGGCACAACGTGAGGCACTGTTTTAGAAAAGTACATTTTACATCATTCTGATAGCTGATACACAGGACCACATGGTTCTATGAAACAGTGCGAACTTGTCAAATCTTTCAAAATAGAACATTAAACTGAAGCCTTATTTGCCTATTTAAAGGAATCTAAAGGATCCCATGACAATATTTAAAAATAGACTTCTGCTTGTAGTCTCGTCCATCATTTTTCCTTCAATCCACAAAATGCTCAATAAACTGATGTTCTGACAATCACTGTTATGGGGAACTGCGGTGTGCAAATTGGCGGGTCAGCTTACCTGCCATAACAGCAGTGAACATACATTATCAGCAATTTTTTGGTTGAGAGTCACTTTGGCATAAATTGAGCTACATAAATGCAAGCGTGTGTCCTTTCTTTTCATAAAAGTGTAGTTAATACTTGCCACATGGTGATTTTTAGAAACGACATTAAATACATGCAAATACATAATACGATGACAGACTTTAAAATCTTTTCTTCTGATTAGGACTTGAAATTCAATTTGACATGTTCCATAGCTGACAATAAGTGAGTTTTGGTGGTGATTTAATTCTATATACAGGTAAAGTTGTCCATAAACATTGCACAGATGTAACACTGCTTATGACGTTCAGACTATACCGCAGTACAAGACTGAAATGCAAGATACTCATGAGATGGGAGTCTGATCAAATTTGACAGTAACAATGTACCAGAGGTCAGTTTAGAGACCAATTCATGGTATGTGGAAATAGGTAATTACGTTTGTAGCATTAAATCAAAGAAACACACACAACACAAAACATTTTGATGTGGTTACCTTAGTGACAGCTATTTTGGCCCCCTTGTTGATGAGCTGCACCACATTCTCTGTCTGGCCTTTGTGTGCAGCTATGAGAAGCCTTTCTGAAAGCTGAGCGACTGCATCCCTCTGGCTCATGAATTAGAAAAGGGGGTGCTCAGGGCAACCAATGGACAGGTTCTTTCAGTAAAATGAAACGTAGGACTGTAATGCCTGAATACTGGACTCCAGGGTCTTTCCCTTTAAGATAACTCGGCACCTTTGAATTGATTATGCTCTCTTGCAGGTGGTTTCATAACATATGGGTACATGATGTCTTCAGTAACCTGGAATTTAACTTGCCCCATGGGTTACATCATTTCTTCCATGTTGTCATTGTTATCTCTCAACCTGCATAAAAGAACATTAACTAATTATTGAGTTGTCTTAGAGGGGACAGTTTATAATATCACATTATGATGGCTTTTTCTCAGCTCTGTCACAAATACATTGTCCAGAACATTTCATTTATTTCCAGGAGAGTTTTAGCAGTTGAATTCTTCTCTTAAAAAAAAGATTATTGAATACTCAAAAATAAATCCAGTGGGGTAATGGCTAGATTTCAGCTGGTATTGCAATAAGAAACAAGCGATGGCAATATGTTATAGAGTAAGGAAGTTTGGAGGGTTAGAATGTGAGTGACCCACTGGGATGAGGTAACAGGTCACATGGTAAGGACGTCTTGTCCAGCCTTCGATGGAAACAGACACATTTCAAGTACCTTGTGTAAATAGGTCACAGTTAATAACACAATAATTACCGTTTAAAATACAGAAGCCTCAGCATTTTTACTAATTAGGGACCCATCCTAGGTCCAAACTTTAATACATATTAGCATAAATACAACTGAGGTCATTATTCAGCTGATCCATCTAAAAAAACATAGTTCTGTTCACCATTGTCAATTGTAAAATGCAAGTTTCCACTAAATGATTGCAGGGATCATACTGCCACTATACTGAGCAGAAGACCATCCAACTCATTAGTCATTCTTTACATGCACATTTTATGTACGTTTGCCCAAGTTTTCTTCTCATGTTGAATGCGCAGAACTGGGAGAATTCCCTGCTCCTCAAAGCTAACCTTAAAAATGGTGGCCCGCATTCCTCATTTTCGGTCTGGGGGCAGGCTGGATTAGGATTTAGGATGGGTGTCCCAGCAAATGCTGAGGAGGCTGTCCGTTCTCAAACAGAATTGGGCAGAAAGCCCACCAAGCTCTAACAATTGGGTCAAAAATTAAAATAAAAGAGCGAAATATAAAATATTCCTCCAGCCCTCATCTTTGCCTCACTTCCCCTCACCCAACTCATGTTTACTCTCTATTTCTTGATTTAGCTTACCACTTTCTTTACTCTTTACAATTTTGATGATATTTTGCACTATATACTTCATTGTTCATCCAATCTACATAATTTTAAAAAGAGAATCAAAGCAAGAATCATTGAAAGCATTGTGATTATGCCAAATGAACCAATAATACCATTGATGTACCAATGAAATATTTAGTTGTAGCCAATATAACTGTAATGTAGGCTTTTAGTGTACTGAGATAGTAGGAACTGCAGATGCTTGAGAATCTGAGATAACAAGGTGTAGAGCTGAATGAACACAGCAGGCCAAGCAGCATCAGAAGAGCAGGAAGGCTGATGTTTCGGGCCTAGATCTTTCTTCAGAAAATGTTCATTTTCTGAAGAAGGGTCTAGGCCCGAAATGTCAGCCTTCCTGCTCCTCTGATGCCGCTTGGCCTGCTGTGTTCATCCAGCTCTACACGTTGTTATGTCTTCTAGTGTACTGTTGTTATTTGGGAACTTGTATTTAAAAGTGGAGGAAAAGTAGATGCTAATTTTCAGTTCTGTGAAGGTGACTTATTTAAAATAATGTTCAGAAAGTCATTTTGGACAGTGGACTAAAGATAGATTTTCCAAGGAAGCATTTGATTTAAGTTAAATGACTTGATCAGTGACATGGGAATTCATTGCAAAATTTTTACAAAGCTGAGCTTTCTGAAACCAAAACAGATGGTGACGTGCCATTATGCATTTAGTTCAAAACAGAAGTCATGCTGGCAGAAGGGCAGTGTTTTTTTCTGGTAATTTTAACAAAACTCTGGACTGAGAGGGTTGGTAGAAATGTTCAGGCTGTCAGAACTGGGAAGTAGTATCCAGACTGTAAGAATTGAAAAGAAGCCTTAAGCTACATCAGTCATTTCAAAAAGAAACTAAAGAGTTAAGATAGGAGTAATACTTCACTGGGATTGACTAACTGAAAAGGATACTGCTAGAAAAGAATTTTTATTTTTGCTGCAGAGTGAAGACATTCCTAAACTGTCACTTTATAAATTTGTACATGGGATGTGGGCATCACAGTCTAGGGCAATGTTTATTGCTCACTCCAGTTGCCCGGAGAGCAGATAAAAGTCAACCACATGCTATGAGTCTGGGGTCACATGTGGGCCAGACCAAGTAAAGATGGCAAATTTCCTTTCGCAAAAGGACATTTGTGAACAAGATCATTTTATTTTAAACAATAACAGGTTGTGGTTAAATGGTTGTCATTATATTGCTTTTTATTCCATATTTTTGTTGAATTTAAGTTTCACAATTTGCCTTGGTGGGATTCAAACCTATGTTCCCAAGAACATTAGAGCCTGGTTACTATTACACTGTGCCATCACTTCCGTACAGCCTTTGTTATATTCTCTTTTGTGCTCTAAACTTTTTGTCTTTTGTTAAAAGAACATTGGCAAATTGATGTGAATATGCTTAGTGACCTGGACACCACATTAATCAAACTGCAAAAATAAAAATTACGGTCTATCAAGCTAGCTTTCTTTCTGAGATCTGATGTTTCCAGTGTTATCATCAGCTCGGATCGTAACAATACACTGTCAGATATTTGAACATACATTGTAATGAAAGAGGCAATGTGTTACAAAATTACTAGATTTTGTTTTAAAATATTAAAAATTGAACCAACAATGCAGTATAGCAAATTCAAATCCTGATATGTGCTGTGCTTTCTGATGTCAGGGGTGATGTACAAAGATACTTCAATTAGTCCAAAAATGAAAGAAGTGGAAAAGCTGATTAAGATTCGCACCTTGATGGTCGCCCTTCAATAGTCAAAATAGTTGACCTATCAAATAAAATTGAAGTGCACCACAAAGGCTTGGGTCAGGCATAAAATCAGCAGAGGCTGTATAGAGAAAGGTGTACATCATCAAAGTATCTCCAAAACAATAGAAAGAAATAACATAGAGAGAGACCCTTCCTATATGTTGACCTAATTAGGTTACTTACATTATGTTGAACCACTATTTTATTACAAAATACAGTGCTACACATTGCTCATTGACCAAGGAGATTTTGGTCGGGTTTTCAAATGTTGAGTAACATAACCATTTAATTAATTTCCACGGTCAAATATCTTGTACGCCATCTGATTGAAGTAGAGCTTGTAAAGGTAGTCAATCCTGTTTCAAAGAAATCTAAAGCAACCAAACTGGGCATCATGTATTTCAGGGTGAAAAATGATTTCAGCTATTGACAGACTGTGGTTAGTCAATGAAAGCATTAAAACCACAACCATTACTCATTTTGAATTACAGGATATAGTTATGATCTTAATCATCAGCAGTGTTGTCACTAATTGGTATCAGACAACTTTGTGGTGAAATCATAGTGTCAACGTTTGATGATTAAGAGGTAGATCTTTCATTGACAATCTTGAAAGCTAAACGGACTGTCATTCAGCCTCTTCAGCAGGTTTGATTATCCTTGGCCACCTCGGGAAACAGTACATATTCCAGGAGTGATAAATTCTGAATTATATTCCAAGCCTGAGACAGAATTACTCTGGGATACCACTGGAATAATTAGTGCCAACATCGGAATATCCAAGACTGGAGGTGACAGTTATGAGTGAAGGTTTCAGCAGTACATGGGTTAAGGTACAGAGGCCTCTGTGATGATGTGAATATATGGTTAGAACCTTATCTCAATGATAAATAGGATGCCAAGCTGCTAACAGTCTAGTCACGTGAAGCAGTGCTATGGAGATGGATGATGGCAAGGGTTCCTGGCAGACTAACCAGATGATGGCTCCAATTCTTCCAAAACTTAGTTGGAAGAAACAGTGTTTCATCTAAAATTAGATACTGGACAAGCAATCTGATAGTGGAGAGATTGAGATAGGTGGTGGAGGGGTAGAGTTTGGGGTGATTAGTGCACATATGTAAGACATGGCTTCCGGACAACAAGTAGATGATGAAGAGAAGGTTGATCAAGGTTAGTGTCTTTACAACTGCAAAATTGACAGTATGGTGTCAGAAAGAGAAGCCATCGAATGGAACTGCCTGCTATGATTGGATAAATATGAGTGGAACCACTGATGGAAATCCCGGTGAAGAAGGACTGAGAAGTAAAGTATGATTAACTACATCAAAAGATGATTAGGAGAGGAACGCATCATAGTCATTGTCAAAAACAGCGTAATTTTTGACTTTAGTTATTGCCACAGTGACAGAGGTGGAAACCTAATTAGAGTTTTAAGCAGGGAGTTGTTGAAAAGATGGCATAGATTTGGGAGATATAAGCATTCAGGAATTTAGAGTAGAAAGGGAAGTTGGATATGAGAAGTAACTTGCAAAGACAGAGGGGCCAAGGGTATTTTATTTTATTTCAAGGATGTGGCAGGCACAGAAACTTTGAAAAAGAAGTAGACTGGGGTCTAGGCCCGAAACGTCAGCTTTCCTGCTCCTCTGATGCTGCTTGGCCTGCTGTGTTCATCCAGCTCTACACCTTGTTATCTCAGATTCTCCAGTATCTGCAGTTCCTACTATCTCTAGACTGTACCTTGTCTGTTTTCCAACAATTGACACTGGTTTTGTGGTCATCATTAGACTCCCAATTTCACAATTTTAACATTAAATTCAAATTCCACCATTTACCATTTGGAGGAGGGGTGGGAGATGGGGGGTGGGGGTGCGGGGGTTGGGGGGTGGTGGTGGCGGGAGCGGTTGGAAGGAGGGTGTGCATTTGAACCCAGGTCCTCAGAACATTGCCTGAGTTTCTACATTAATAGTCTATCAATAGTACCACTAAGCCACAGCCTCCCCTTATTCTGGAGTTCTGGAGTCAAACCTCAGACCAGGTAAGGCTTGCAGGTCTCCTTCCCTCTAAAGACATGAGTGAACCAGATGGATTTTTATAACAATTGACAATGATTAATCATGGTCATCATTAGGCTAGTTTTTAATCCCCACATTTTAGGGAAAATCTTTCATGGTGGAATTCAAACCCTTGTGGTTATAACATTAGCTTGAGGTGCTGGACTACTAGTTCAGTGACATT